AGTCTGGATCCAATGTCGTCAAGTCTCAAGTCACAACTCTCTCTCTCTCTGTAGTAGTCCGCTGATACTGAGAAGTCAGGTGGTGAGAGGGGAAGAAGAGAAGGTGGACTTAGAAGAGGAAGAAGAAGAACTCTCTCTCTCCCGGTGTCCAGTACTAACCTGTGAAGTTGGCGCCTTGATGCAGGTACCACAAAGCTGGAGCTGGAGCGATGGCGCCACAGGTAAGTAACACTGGCCTCCGCCAGTCTCTCTCCACTCTACGATCTACTACCTACCAGCGCCCAGCGCTGAAGACTACAGCTACAGCTATGGCGCCCAGCGCCGAAGACTACAGCTAGCGCTACCACTACTGCCTAGCGCTGAAGACTACTGCAGCGCTCCTCCTGAGTGCTGCGGCCGAATCCTGAAGACTACTCCTGCCTACTGACTACCTGCCCGTGAAGTGCATGGGAACCTCCTATGTACTACGGGTGTGCCTCTTGAGCCTGCTGAAGGAAGGCAGGGGCTGCAGCTGCAGCTCCTGCTCGAGCACGTGAGGAACAGGCTATTTTGGGCCTGTTCCGCATCCCTGTTTCCGTGCCTGAGTCTTAGGGGCAGGTCGAAACAATGAGGGCCTGAAAATGGCCCTCCGTTTCAGGCTGAAAACTCTGGGTCTGAAAAGACCCMGAAATAGGCTGAAACGAGGTAGGGCCTGCARGSCYTMRTTTTTCAGCATCCAGGCTGAAATGAACGGGGCCTGTAAGCCCTAAGTTTTAGGCTTTTAGGCTGAATGTCCGGGACGGGCCCTGTAGGCCCGTGTGGCTACGCAGTATGCCACACCAAACCTCCAATTTCCAATGCTTTTTTGCACCCAAATCATAATGAAAATGCCAAATTCCATTTCGTTCAAAAAATATAAATTGTCCGTTTTGACGAAATCACTGTTCTACAACCATGCATGCAGGAGGCACGGTGCCCGGGACACAACCCGGGTTCACACAACACTCCTCCTCCAATTCATGGTTGCTTAACCAAGGAGAGGGGGAAGGGAAGTAGAGGGGAGGGGAAGGGAAGGGAGGAATCGGAGTTCATGCAACAGCACGAAGTCCAACCGAAATCCCCATTTACTAGGAAACCAAGGATGGGCACAGAACCTTGTGCGTTTCATTTCCTAGATCATTGTCATAGCAGCACTGGTGAGGACGTTCCAAACTCACATCTACACTCCATAGTTCTAGAGCATGGGACCACTGGGACGGTCCCAAACAATGTGTGTGATAACTTGTGGAGCATGTGACTTCAAGCAACAGCAGACAGATCTCTTCACCTTCATCTTCACAATGTTTTTCCTTTCCTTCCCTCAGAGAAGGCATGAGTATACTTTTGTTTGTTTGTTTGTTTGTTTGTTTGTGTGTTTGTTTTTTCTTCCAAGTGGGCCCAGTGCCCAAGGCTTAGATTATAAAATGGATTATGAAGATGATACCGGGGCCATTAACCGGCTAAGCCGGCTTCGGCTCTGGGGAGTGACCATACCAAGCGGAGAAACGATTCCGGCATCCCCCCCCCCCAATGACATAGATGACTCTCTAGATCGTCGAAACGATCTAATATAGAAAAATGTGTCACTGTGACTAATGAACAAGTATGGAAGAAAAACACAGATAGGGATTTCTACTCAGAGTAACTTATATCCATATGCTTAAACCACACTTTACGTAACATAGAAGAACAGGCATCAAAACACTGAGGATGACCGATGCGTCCAACTTTTGCTCTTTTTTTTTTTTTTTTTTTTTGGAAAACATTCAACTTTTATCGCAAAAACTTTGAGACAAGGCCAGGGACCTCACAATTCAACCCGGAGTTATCCTGCCAGCCTCAGCCAGTTTTGCTTATGAGCCAAGCTCGACAAACAAACTAGCTGTTCCATATATCTCAATCTAACTCAATCTGCTGAAAACCGGGTCCAACATCCCAAGTGTAAGTGCTTTCCAAAAAGTAATACTTTGAAGCACAGTGAAAAAGGAGAGCTTTCCTGATCAAACTAGCTCTTGGTAACTCATAGTAACAGCTGCGGCTAGGGAATACCTTACGATTACAGATACTACCTGAAGCTCATTGGCACACCTACAGGCCGCCTGTTTTCTTTATTTATCTTTTTGAACAATTAGCATTTCGAAACTTAGGCCCCATACCGGCCTTAAAACTTCACTTTTGTAGTGCGAAAAGAAGAGATAGAAGGGGGAGAGGTGGGGGGGGGGGGGGGGGAGGAGAGGGTTTGCTCATWTTTCCACAAAGCCAAATCCAGAAGTTTAGTAGGAATAATTGTATTGTTTTTCTTCTTTGAAAAAAAAAAATCCAGAAGTTTCGAGATCTTAGACTTCCATTTCCAAGCAACAGTTCTACCCCTCTAGGTTGAGCATGATTAGGAGTGGAACCATGAGAATGAGCCATCTGCCGCAATAAGCACGTGCTATGCAGAATAGGCGCAGCTCTTTGGGACCTCTGTAGGCCACCCCAGTGGATAGAGCACCCATCCAAAAGGCAGCTGTTCGGGGGCTCTGTCCTCCTCCCACCCAGCAGGGATCATTCCTCCTCTCACCACCTCGCTCCCCACCCCTGGCAAGTCGGTCGAAACACGTGTTGGGTCTCATCTCCAGTTGAGCTTACTGTTGCTTCACTTTGGCACGACGACCTGTGCTCTTATTGAAATCATTTGTGCATGATTGATTGCGCTCGAGGATATTATTTTGTCTACTTTCTTGTCGGCGTCTTGTCTGATTGTGTTCTAGTGTCTAATTCTGTTCTAGTGTCTGATTGTGTTCTAGTGTCTAATTCTGTTCTAGTGTCTGATTGTGTTCTAGTGTTTTGTCTACTTCCTGTCTGTTTGCTCTACTGTTGCTTTGATGGTATAACTATCACTGCCACTCACCCAGGCGTTGAAAGACAACACTCACCCTCCCTCCTCTCTTCCTCAA